CTATTATGTCAACTGTTCTTGGGGTAACTCTTCGTCCTTGTCCTCTGATTGCTGTATTTGGGATTCCTGTTCGCTCACTTACACTTGATTCCACACAAAAGGATATTATAGCCTTCACATCCCTATTAGCGAGACGTCTAATATTGTTGCATTGAAAGTCTGTTAAGTATCCTACTATTACCCGGTGGCTTAGAGATGTCATGTTTTTTTTAAAACTTGAAAAAATTAAATATACGTTGAGAGGTTGCACAGCCAAATTTTTTCACAAGTGGCAACCCTTTATCTCTTATTTTGCTAGTCTAGAGGTATTGCCTGTTTAAATGTACTTCTGTTACTGTTATATTCCTCTAATATGTTTGATGGTTGTGTTAGGGTTAGTTAGGGTTAAAATAAAAAGATCTTTTATAAAATTATATTTGATGTGTTGTATTGTAGTATTGTTTGTATTGGCTACAATGTGCAACATAATGACATCATAATATATCATGCATTATTCAAGTTTTGCGTCACAATAACAAATAGGCAACAATTTAAATGTTATTGTTGTACAGTGAAAGTGGTGTCATGCACGTGAAAGGTAATTTAAGTGTATAGCTGCTACAAATGGGTCATTAAAACCTGTTGAGAGGTGGTTGTTAGGGAACATAATATGTGATATAGATGAGAACCTTGAGGGGCCCAAAGCTGTACCCCTACAGGAAGCAATTCACAGTGATTTGGCAACTACAGGCCACAGAAAGTGATTTACATTCAGGCATTTGAAGCAACTACAAGTAAAATAACCAGTGATGTTGTATAGAGGGCTGGATCCAAGACAAATTTTTCTAAACTTCCAAATGAGCGACTGAAACTACTGAGTGCGGGATGTCACTGATTAACGTAGTAAATATATCGTAATAAATGTATTGGAGTTTCAGTGAGGCAGTCAGAGCCTAGAATGTCTATAAGCAATCACCTGTCAGCTTCAAAGCAATGTGATCACATCCAGTGTGGAAGATGTACCTGTGTGCCAGGTTTGGTTGCTCTGTTCCTCAGTTAAAACAACCAAAAAGAGATTTTGTGCGTTTCAGTAAGATAGCTTTTTTAAAATTGTTATTTGTTTTTTGTTTTTTTACTGATTTATTTACCTGTTCATTTATATTTTTGGTAGTTTTGGTCCTCAGCGTATGAGAAGCAAGCAGAGGAATGTACCAGAAAACTATATTAAATTATTTTTGTCTGTGTTTGTTTGCCTGCGTGTTTATTAGTGAGTCATTAATTATTTGTTTTGTATTTTGGCCCATAGAGTTGAGCCATATGAGACATCTTACCTCTAAATAGAAACAAACGCACACAAGTTTGGATCCAGTGGGCTTTCCATGCCATCTAATACTGTATCGTGAGTTTCAGCTGGGAGAGAAGATCTGCTGAGTTCAGCACAGAAGAGTGTACAACCGCGACATCGGGAGTGGATTTACGGCACTGTTACGTCACATGTATTGCTCAGCAGAAGCGCCGCTACCCTGAAACTTATGGCTACAGATGTGTAGCCCTGGATTAACCGATTAAAACACGGACTGGTAATTCACTATTCGACCTTACCCTTTATGTGCGCATGCTAATGGGCATCTGTTGTGTTTATGATGACATATAATCCTCGTTTTTACGACCGGTGTTGGCTCTTGCGTGTGTGTTTTGCTCTTTGCGGGTCCATCGCTTTCTGCCGCCCACTTGCATAAATAACGATAAAGCTGCAGGCTGCTTGGCTGTCTGGCTATCTATCGATCACGTAATGCTTTATAAAAATGATC